ATGGGGGACATTTTCAGAGGTGCCAAAGGGATAACTTAAGAACACTGATTCCATGGTGAGTCACTGTGCTCCTAAGTCCCCGGTATAGTCAATTGCCAGGAGGTGGTAATAAATAACTCCCCTAATCAGGGTGCTGCAGTTTCTCTTGAGTGATAGAGCTTGTGACCAGCCCCACTGGTGTAACCATGTGCGAGTCAGGATCAGACCTGTTGTGCTAATGTCACAAGGTTGAAATCCTTCCAAAACCTCCTTCTACAGCAGGAGGAAAGGGTCAGGAGCAGCTCCTTGCTGCAGATTTCTGAAGGGAAGTAATTTGTGTTTCTTTTTAAATTGTCTTGCAGTAGGAGTGAACCCGTGAACTATTTAATCTGATTGGCCTCCTTTGGCCTGGCCTGTGCTAATTGACTGTGACAGTCAACTCAGTACAGCAGCTGTTTGCACTGGGAAAGGAGACTGCCCCAAGGGGGCTGTTCTTAACAGTTGCTCAAGTGGCAGGATCTACTCTGTGCCTGACATAAAGTCCAGGCTGGGGTGTGGGAGGGAGAAATTGCCTGAGTTGCTGTTGCTTGGTGGTTCTGAGAGGTGAAACCTCCTTGCAGGGAGAGATTTGACATGCAGTGTTAAGCTGGCAGGACAGCAGGTGAGAGCAAAGACTCATGCCATGGCCACCAATGCTTTCTGTTGTCTAAACAAAGATGCACACTAGGTTCCATGCTCCTCTGTTCTGCATCCTCCCGCTTTTCCCCTCATTGCCAGCTTGCATCCTCCTGCCCTCTCTTACGCTCATTAACATTCCCTGTGCTAAACTCCGGCTGGTCTCCAGCTGGCTACTGGTTCTGTAGGTTACCCAACCCTCAGGTGGCTGTTTCCCCTCCAAGATCCCGGTTTTAGAACATAAGCACATAAGAACATAAGAATGGCCGTACTGGGTCAGACCAAAGGTCCATCTAGCCCAGTATCCTGTCTGCCGACAGTGGCCAGCACCACGTGCCCCAGAGAGGGTGGACCGAAGACAATGATCAAGCGATTTGTCTCCTGCCATCCCTCTCCAGCCCCTGACAGACAGAGGCCAAGGACACCATTTTATCCCCTGGCTAATAGCCTTTTATGGACCTAACCTCCATGAAATTATCTAGCTTCTCTTTAAACTCTATTATAGTCCTAGCCTTCACAGTCTCCTCTGGCAAGGAGTTCCACAGGTTGACTACACGCTGTGTGAAGAACTTTCTTTTATTAGTTTAAACCTGCTCCCCATTAATTTCATTTTAACCCTCTGCCTCCCCAGGCTCATCCATTCCGCAGCTCAGACTGAGAGAGAAGTGTTGTTTTCTGTGTCCCCTGCCAACACTGCAGCTTTTATTCTGTAAAGTGCCTTAGAAGGCAGTGTGCTTTGGGTGAATGTCCTGACATATGAATGGGCTTGCTCAGATGATTAGAAGGGAGGAAATGTCTGAGAACTGGGGCATTTCTCTGGGTTTCAACATGTGCTGGAATGGCTGTTACTCCTTGTTCCTGTGCTAAGTCCAAAGACTGAGAAGAGAGAAGGTTGCTCAGTTTTATTCTATTTTCTTTCCATCTCAAAGAACTCCAGAGACAGTCACCTTCTGGTGTTAGGTTCCAGCGGTTTTTAAGAGAACGGATTTACTCAGTCATGTCCCTTAATGAAATGTCAAGTTTAAATGAGCCATAATTAATATTGTGTGTGGAGAAGCCAGGGAATTCCTTAACCTCAGAGGATTGGTTGAAAAAATATGGGAGTTTGTTGTTAGGGAAAAGTAAAGACACCAGTTATGTCCACATTAAAATAGAGGACAGACAAATTAGCTATTTGGTTACCTTTTATTCAATATGCAGAGTACATTGACCTGCAATAAAACCAGTGCACTTGTCCAATTATTTTGAATATTAATATTTGATAGACATGCCTAGCTCTGTTAAATGTGTGTATCGAGATGCCACTTTCTTTATTAAAAGCTCTAGAAGCGATGTGTTGTGATGATACTCACTCTAGCATATGGCAACACCCTGTTTAAATAGAAATATCTCAGGATTATTTTTATGTGATGTCTACACAAGAGAGAACTTCATGTTGCTTTTTTGGGTTTTTTTTTTTTGGTTGTTTACATGGTAAGGATTTGTAAATTTGTTGAAAATTCCTAGTTTAAATGAATAGTTGAATTAAAAAAAAAAGCCATCACTGGAAGTTATATATCAGAACTCCTTTGGATGCTCGCTTCTGACCTTAATTTTCTTATCATTAGACAGTTTTTCCTAATATCTAACCTAAATTTTCCTTGCTGCAGATGTAACCCATTACTGTTTGTCCTACTTCAGTGAACATAAAGAGAACTCTTGATCATTGTCCTCTGTAACAGGCCTTCGTGTATTTGAAGACTGTAATCAGGTTCCTCCCCTTCGTCGTGTTTTCTCCAGAGTCCAGACTAAACATACCCCATTTCTTTTTCCTTTTAAACCTTTCCTCATACATTGGGTTTTCTAAACCTTTATTCCTAGTTTTTGCTCTTCTCTGGACTCTCTCCAACTTGTCCACATCTTTCTTAAAGAATGGTGCCCATGATGGGTCAAAATACACCAGAAGAAGAGACACCAGAGTCAAGCAGAACATGAGAGTTAGCTCCCATATCTCACATAAATACTCATTATATACCCCAGAATGTAGTTTGCTTTTTTTCCACAGCTGCATCATCTTGTTAATTTATATTCACCGTGGGACACATGGTAACCCCAGATCTTTTTCAGAAATACTCCCGCCTCACCAGTTATACCCCATTCTGTATTTTTCCATTTGATTTGTCTTTAAGTGTAGCATTTTGCAATTGTCTTTTTATTGAATGTCATCTTGTGGGGTTTTTTTGGTCTTCGCTTCAGCAAAATCACCTGGGTGTGATTCAACTTACTTCTTCCCCTTCTACTGTCCACCGCTTGGCTTTTTAATAACATTAATACATGTATCATTTTTCTCCACTCCATTGCCACTCTAACTTTGCCATTTTAGAGTGGAAACTAGCCTACTGCAGCATTCTGTAGCTCTGTTCTGAAGAGGGAATGCTTCAGTTACCAATATGTTCCATCAGTCTGCACCTGAATTGTGGCAATATTAGTCAATAACAGGCACATTGCTCTCCATCAGCCACAATTCCAGGCATTTTGGCTCAGTTTAAGCTTTTCCGAAGCTGTCAATAAGCGGCAAGCTGGGGATCCCTCCTTGTTGGCTAAAGCTTTTGGTGTTGAGGATTATTTGATTTTATTTGACCAGTATAAGTGGATTGCTGTTGGCTCAGTCTGACAATCAGAGTTCCAGGGCTCACTATAACAATGTAAGGAAGGGGGGGGGCTGGTTTTATTTCTAAACAGGCTGTTATCAATGGAGTCCTGTTAGGTCTCTGATGGGTTCAGGCCTGGATTCTGTTCCTGGATCACAGAGGACAGACCCTGATGTCCAGCTGGAAGCCAATTAGAGTCACCCAAAATAACTATAGTAAAAGTAGCAATGAAAATGGCAGGAAGAGGAGCAGGCTGATCAGTGGCTTTCCATACCTTTTCAATACGGTAAGTTTAATAGGTTTGTAAAGTTTTAAGGCCAGAAGGGACCACGAGATGATTGGGGGAACTAACAGCCTTGCTGGGCCCCTGGGCAAGGCGGAGGGGCAGAGGTGGTGCTGTGGTACTGGAAGGGGGCAGAGCCTCACGCAGAAGGGGCAGGGTGAAGGGCAGCCTGGCCTCAGCACTACCCAGACTGTAGCACCTGCACCCCTTGATAGATAAATGTCTATCAGGGATGGTCTAGACAGTACTTGGACCTGCCATGAGGGCAGGGGACTGGACTCGATGACCTCTCGAAGTCCCTTCCAGTCCTAGTGTTCTATGATTCTGTGATTCCCCCCCCCCAGGTTTCAGAGCTGCCTGGAGCATGGTCCTTTGGTGGCAATTTAAAGGGCTCTGGACATTGAGTAGCAGCAACGGGGTGGCCGGGAGCTGGGAGCTCTTTAGAATCGCCAGGTCCCAGGGCAGTTGCCTCCTATGCCCTCCCCATATCGGTGGATCTTCCTGCACTGCAAACAAGCCATAGAATTTACCGCCTTTGAGGCCAATAACTCGTGTTTGTCTAAAGCATATTTTCTAAGGTACAGTTCCCCAGTGGCTCTGCTTTCCAAGTCATACAATACTTTGCTAATCTGACGGCTGCTTTTAATGTATTTGGGTACACTGATCCCAAAGGCTCTATACTTGGCAGTAGGCAGGTACCCTCACGTTCAGAAGTCACTAGACCATCTTTCCAATATATCCACCTCCCCTCCATTCACCTGTGACTTGTTTCCGCAGAAGATTAAAATAGCAGAAGCCCAACTAAAAGCCAAGGAGTTTTCACAGCTTTCTAAGTACCGGCCTCCAGTCATGTGTAAGGAATATCCAGTCAGCCAGGGAAAAGAAATTGCCGAAGGACTGTGCAGTCAAGCACCTGTTAGCTCAGACGATAAACTGGAAAAGGGTCACAAAGGCGGCTCATTTGGTCCTGAATCATTCCGAGAGGTCCAGGAAGAGCAGAGGAAGTATTTTAACACCGTCCTTCCAAACGCTAACCAATACCTTTCTAAATGTTATCCCCACCCGGAGCAAGCTGCAACACAGGTGGACAAAACGGAGAGAACACAACTGTCCATCATGCCACAAGGAGAACCTGCTGCTTCTTCACCATTATTTTTCCAGCCTCCTGAAGCCACAGAGCAATGTCCAGGAACAGAAGGTAATTCTCACTGTCCTCCAGCTAACGTTTGTTTACAAATGCAGACCTGAACTAAGTGGCTGACCGTATTCCTTGTAAGCTGTGTGCATGTGCAGTTGCTCAGGAGAGATTCCACTGCCACCCAGCTGATTAGCAGAGCACGCACAGCTAAGTTTGTGTTTCTCCTGGTGGTGCACATTCACATGTGCCTTGGTGCACATGAAAAAATTAAGCCGCAAATGGATGGAGCAGATTAGAGGGAACAGTGGTTGCCGAATAGCTGGCTCTATAGAAGGGATTTGGGTGGCCCCCTTACCGTAGTATCTAAGCACCTCACAATCTTTAACATATTATCCTCACCACAACCCTGTCAGCTAGGGCAGGGCTAAGAACCCCATTTTACAGATGAGGAACTGAGGCAAAGAGAGCCTAATCCCAGATCCCCAAAGCTATTTAGACTCCTTTCATCTATGGAAGTCAGGAGCCTAAATACTGTGGTGACTCAGAGCCATAGTGACTTGGCCAAGGTCACACAGGGAGTCTGTGGTGGAGCAGGAAATTGAGCCGAAGGTCAGCAAAACCATGGAGCCACACAAATGGTGAACAGTATCATTTCACACAGACATTAACCTCCACTTGCATAATATCATCATAGAGCCATAGGGTTGGAAGAGACCTCAGGAGTCAAGTCCAACCGCCTGTTAAAAGCAGGACCGATCCCAATTAAATTACCCCAGCCAGGGCTTTGTCAAGCTGGGACTTCAAAACTTCTAGGGATGGAGATTCCACCACCTCCCTAGTAACCCATCCCAGTGCTTCACCGCCCTCCTAGGGGAATAGTTTTTCCTAATATCCAACCTAGACCTTCCCCCACCGCAACTTGAGACCATGGCTCCTCGTTCTGTCATAATTCATCTTTTCCCTTCTTCCCCCCTCAGGACCTAAACTGTGATCCATCACAGAGCTGGTATAATTCAGTGACATTCTACCGCAGTTGATGGAGCTATGACAATTTTATACCAGCTGGGGATCTGACCCCTTGACTTTGTCAGGATGCAAAGCAAGAGAGTAATTAAAACGAGGGTGACTTTCCTTATATCACAATGTGTGTTCTTTCCCCTCCTAGGTCAGGAAGGGCCAGTGTCTAACAAGCGAAGACCAAGACAGACCTGGGACAACTATCAGCAATTTATCCGGGAGACGTGCAGAGCTAGGCAAGCAAAAGCTCAGCAGAACAGGAGCCTGGTCTTGGGGTCGTCTGTGTTTAGGGAAGGTTGGTTGATTTAGCTGCCTGGCAACAGTCTACCTGTGAGTGTGAGGCATCCTTACAGAGGAGCTGCTGGCCCAGTTTTGGCATTCAAGCCAATGAAAAGGCCCTAGGGAGAAGAATGGGGATTGAATGAATAAAACAGGGTGGGAATGTTCGATACATTTCCGGGCAGAATGGAAGGGGACTCCCATTTGGCACCCACCATTCACATGCATGCCAGATAGTTAGAAGGGCAATGGCTCAGATTTGTGCCCACTATTAATTTCTGTGGGTGCAAAATTTTGCAGCTGCAAAGTTCAGTTATGTCAAAGGAGGCTGGAGCCAAGCCCCTTGAAGGTTTGCTTTTCCCAGTTGCGACAGAACTCTGCAGCTAGCCAGAGCCGTACAGATTCCATGAGCTATCTACTGAACCACATGGGTGGAATCTCACACAAGACCTCTGGCTGAAAATATGCCAGTCTCTACTTACTGCACACTATGGAGAACATTAATAGCTGTCCAGTAGCATTAAGGTTTATGGGCCTAGTACAGAGCCTAATGAAGTCCATTTTCCATTTGCTGGGGTTTGGGGGGAGCTCCATGACCTCTTTCGTGGCACTCCAGCTGCTGGCTCCAAACCACAATGCCTTGAACAACCCTGATTCTGTCCAGCAGAGGCAGCAGGACACAAATATTAACCAGTACATTACAGCTGAACCAAATTTTTTTTGCATTTAAAACATGTTAGAACCCTGTCAAGATTGCTTTAATGCCAGTGACAGCGTGGTCCAGTACCTGCCTGAAAAATGTTACAGCACAAACCAACAAACAAAAATTGCTAAAGCTATTTACCATTCATGTTCATTTAGCATTAACACAGTCATTCTGGAAGTGGGGGGTGGTTTTTTAACCTTTTTGTACTGGAGATCCTCTTGGGATTTACAAAATAATTGTAATACAGCTTTTAAGACTAGAAGAGGTAGGAGGCTGAAGCCACCTGAGCCCCACAACCCACGCCAGGGGCTGACAGCCCAAGTCCATGTCTCTACTCCCAACCATACCATGACCCCAGGTGGAGAAACCCTGCAGGATAGAACAAGGGATGCCAGCCTAGAAAGTGACTATTCCTCAGGACCATTCCCTTCCCGTCTATAAAACCAGTCTCCTACAGCAAAAGAACAGGAGCACTTCTATTGGGGTGGGGAGAAGAGTCAGTGCAGCAGAGCTGATGTTTCTCACTTGCATGGATCTGCCCAGTGTTGGTCCTTTTGCCTGTTGGGAGATAACACTACAGGTCTAATAGCAGGACTGAGCTGCTGCTCTGCTTCATCAGCTTTTGGGCCTCTTTTCTGCATCAGCCAATATCTGTGCTACATCCCCACGCACATGAAAGTGTGTCACTCATTAGACAGAGAGTAGGAATAGATTACACAGCTGGGAACAGTCTTGCACGTGTCTGGAGAGGGACTGCATGATCTAAGGGGATGTCTACACTACAAAGTTAGTTCGAACTAACGTCCATTAGTTCGAACTAACTGTCATAGGCGCTACACTAGTGCTCCGTTAGTTCGAATTTAATTCGAACTAATGGAGCGCTTAGTTCGAACTAGGAAAACCTCATTTTACGAGGATTAAGCCCAGTTCGAACTAGCTAGTTCGAATTAAGGGGTGTGTAGCCCCTTAATTCAAACTAGTGGGAGGCTAGCCCTCCCCAGGTTTCCCTGGTGGCCACTCTGGCCAACACCAGGGAAACTCATCTGCCCCCCTCCCGGCCCCCTTAAAGGGGCACGGGCTGGTTACGGTGCCCGTGCCAGGTGCAAGCCTGCCAGCACCCAGCCAGCAGACCCTGCACCTGGCACGGCTCGAGCCACCCACCCGATGCCCCCCAACCCTCCCCCTCTTCCCGGGACCAGACTGGCGGCTCCCGGGAGCTTGCCCGGGACCGCAGGAGGCGGGCACCCGCCTGGGCTAGCGCAGACATCGTGGACCTCGTCTATGATCTCCGCACTAGGCACAGGAAAGTGGCCAGCTAGGGCAGGAGAGCTGCCAGCCTGGCCACCCAGGAGCAGGTGTGCATGAAAATCAAGGGGGTCCACTGAGACCCCCGACCCTGAGCCCTGAGCTTACAATGGCCGTCCTGGTTCAGACCAAAGGTCCATCTAGCCCAGTAGCCTGTCTGCCGACAGTGGCCAACCCTAGGGACCCTGGAGGGGATGGACCGAAGACAGTGACCAAGCCATTTGTCTCGTGCCATCCCTCTCCAGCCTTCCACAAACCTTGGGCAGGGACACCACTCCTACCCCCTGGCTAATACCACTCCATGGACCCAGCCTCCATGACTTGATCTCACTTCCCTTTAAACTCTGTTCTAGTTGTAGCCTTCACAGCCTCCTGCAGCAAGGAGTTCCACAGGTTGACTCTTTGCTTTGTGAAGAACAACTTTCTGTTACTAGTTTGAAGCCTGCTACCCATTCCTTTCCTTTGGTGTCCTCTAGTCCTTCTTTATGGGAACTAATGAAGAACTTTTCTGTATGCACCGTCTCCACCCAACTCCTGCTTTTAGAGACCTCTATCCTGTCCCCCCTCCGTCTCCTCTTTTCTAAGCTGAAAAGTCCCAGTCTCTTTACCCTCTCTTCATATGGGACCTGTTTCCAACCTCTGATCATTTTAGTTGCCCTCCCCTCTCCCACCTCCTTTTCCCAGTCTCCCCCAGTTTTGTTCAATAAAGACAGATTCCATTTTTGAACACAATTGTCCTTTATTTTGTACATCAAGAAAAGGGGCTAGGGAAGGGTAAGTGGAAGGAGGTGAGGGACGAATGGGGCATGAGCCCCCGAAGGGGAGGACTGGGCTGGCTCTGCGGGCTTCTGGGGGTGGAAGCGCTCAGGCAGCCCCCCAATTGCCTCCTCTCCCCAGATGGCAGCCTGCGGCAAGTGCAGCCGGGCTGATGGCCGAGTGGTGTGATGTGCCCAGTGTGGGTACTCCGGGCACTCCAAGCCAGGACTGCTTTGCAAGCGGGGCACCCCTGAGAACTGTCTGTCCGGGATGGGGGTCGGGACCCTTTAAGCGCAGCCCTCGGCTAGCCTGAGACAGCATCTCCACCCTCTAAGTCCTCCTCTGATGCCCTGCCGGCACTGCTTCCGGCCAGCCTTAAGCCCGGTTCAGGGTCCACTTAATGTGGACATGCTAGTTCGAATTAGCAAAACGCTAATTCGAACTAGTTTTTAGTTCTAGACGCGTTAGTTCGAATTAGCTTAGTTCGAATTAACTAATTTGAACTAAGTTAGTTTGAATTAGCGCTGTAGTGTAGACGTACCCTCAGAGAGGAGGAGTGGACAGACGTTTTAGTTGTTTGAGATCTCTGATCTTTCAACAGATTGCTGCAGTTCGGATGGAACAAGCACCTACAGCACAGATTACAAATACTGGTCCGGAGTCCACAAAGAGCATTGCAAAGCACACAAGAATTTCTCTAAAATTGTCTTTGAAGATGGCTCCCTTAACGAGTAAGTGAGATTTGGGCACTAGGGTGACCGGGTGGGAGAGAAGAAGAACATGGGGGTTTGTTATCTTTGATTTTTGAACCATAGAGTAAGATTTCCATGTTACTTCTCCAATGTCTCTCTTCTTGCCCATAGTGTAATAAATAACAAGCAACATAAAAACAAAGCTTTCCTTCAGGATAAAATGATTTCACAAGGCTCAGTCATCCCTCTCCTGAAAAATCTCATAGAAGGAGACAGAAGGGATGTTAAATTCCACTGTGGTTTCCCCCACTAGAGCATCCTACTAAATATCCCCTTAAGAAAGGCATTTGGGGCCCTGGAGCTGGCTGTGTATGGTTCATCTGTACAGGCCAGACACTAATACTCTGAGATACTCTGAGAAGTTGCAGATCATGCCATAGCTCATTGAAAGGTGATTTCCATCTTCCCACTCCAATTCGCCCTGACGTCTTGATTTTGATATATGATTTCAGAGTCATGGGATGGCCAGGGACCCTTGTTACTAGAATTAGAAATTCCCATAAAGCCTTGTCTAAAGCGGGGGATTTGCTAGGGTGTAGCAGTAACATTGCAATTCTCAGTTCAGATACCCCAGTGGAATTTACCCCAATTTCAGGCAGGCAGAAATTGCATTTTTCCTCCCCTGCCCTTGAGGTTTGCACCGATGCATGGGTAGCTGGCCAGCCGCTGCTGAAACTGGGGCAAATCCCAAGTCAGGACAGGGCCTTAGTGCATGTGTTTGGATATGATAGAGCTTGGCTTTGATGTTACCTTCTTACCCATTATTCTTGTGCTCCACAGGAGCCCCTGGGTCTCAGAATACAAGGACAGCTACAGTATTTTCTTGCAGAAGCTGAACTGGCCATCTCCCAGCGCCATGTCAGCTCTGTGCTCTGCTGTAAAGCCCATCACACATCTGTCCCATGGGTTGGCTTCTCACCAGCCCATTCCAGTGAATGCAGTCTTCTGAGCCTGGCCATACAGACCGTGGTAGGTGCCAGGGTCACCCACGATGTTACAATGTTATCCCTAGAGCCAGGTCACATTTTGACACTGTTGAGACAGTGACAATTTAAAAAAAAAAAAGAGAAGAGAAGAGAAGCCCAAACTTGAGACTCCCCCCTCAACCAACTAACTGGGAAAGATAATGAAATAGCTGATGCAGAGCCAAGCCCTGGTTTCTTTACTCATGCAACCTGTCCCTGGAATTTGGGTTAGGTCTCATCTTTGATGCCCAAAAGGGAAGATATCTGAGGTGTGAGGCTGTTTTAGGAGCATTTGGAGTTGCAAAAATTCACAGAGATGGGAAAGACCTGCCAATGGTGCCAAATGTCAGTAGGAAGAGCTACTACTGTGGTTTCTGAGCTGTTCTTAGTTTCTCTGCGCCATATCTTCTGACCCTGACTTTGTTGTAAATGAACAGGGCTTGTCACGTAAGTGGGGTGGCCCATATTCAGAAGAGTTCTTACGCACGTGCTGTAAATCCATCTTCAGTCAGGGCAACATATAAGCACTGGGCCCAAAGCATGTGCTTAAAGCTAAGCATGCACTTAAACAGCCAACCCCAAGCTTTCAAAACTCACAAGTCAGTCTTCCCCTAAATCAGGAGATTTAAAAAAAATAAACTTTTGGTTCTTTTTGTTTGTCTTCTGGTTTTGAGCTTTTTGGAGTCACATTTTCAAGCTTTTCTCCACAAACAAGGACTAAAATCTTAATATTAAAAAATAAGAAAGAGCTGATTCCCATGTGATCATGTGACTCTAAGGGTATGTCTACACTACCCCGCTAGTTCGAACTAGCGGGGTAGTATAGACATACCCTCTGAGTCCCTAGTGATACTATGTAGTAACCAAAGGATTAGGTTGTTTTCATGTCTGTGGTCCCAGATTAGATTAAATTGATTTTTGAAGATTAGATTTTTATTCTTCCATGAAATTGCCATGTGGAAAACCTAGGGCCAGCACTGATACAATTTACTCTCTGGGACAAATATAAAGTAGAGTCTGAGATAGTCTAAGAGAATAGAAATTCTGTTTTCTGAACAATTTCAAGATTTCAAACCTTGGCTTCGTTTTGAATCAGAACAAATTCCCAAACATTTGAAATTCCTTTGAATACAAAGGAAAATTCCAGAAAATAAATCATTTTGAGTTGAGAAAAATGGTTTGATTTTTGACTCAGTTCGGTTACCCTCCTAGTTCGAACTAGGAGGGTAGTGTAGACATACCCTCTGAGCTGGAACTTCAGTAAAGACACCAAGTAGCATGTTGTCTGCAGTAAAATTATAGAAGCTGGGACCACAATTTAAATGCTGTCCTAAATGGAGCTGCTTCTCTCAAATGGGGCCAGAGCAAGTAAAGCCTGTAATTTTCCATAAGGGTGCATCTACACTGCACCCTTAACTTGAAATAAGCTATACAATTTGAGCTATGCAAATTGCGTAGCCTATTTCATAATTTGGCATTGTCTCTACAGCGCCAAATTTTGAAATAAAACCTCTATTCTGAAATGCCCCTTAGTCCTTGTGGAATGAGGTTTACAGGGACGTTGGAATAGCGTGCCTGTTATTTCTAAAGATATTTCGAAATAACGGGAGTACTGTCAAGATGCGGAATAGCTATTTTAGGATACTGGAAGTATCCCGAAATAGCGCCACAGTGTAGATGTACCCTAACAGATTTCATCTTAGTGTCTAAGGTTCTAGTTTTCTTTATCATTTGTTATCCATGCCTCCTTTTTTGTAACTGCAGGTCTGGGAGCTATCCAACATGCAAACCATGATGACACCTGCTCAAGACCATGGAGTCCTGGAAGACCCTTTATATTCCACATTTACTATTATGTTCATAGAATATTTTTGAAGTAATTAACATAGATCTATTTTTTATTTACAGATTTTTAGTAAAAGTAAACTAGAACACTGGTTTCATTGTATATCAGAAATTATCTTTAGTACAGTGCAGTATGTTTAGCTAAAGAAATATTCAGGATGCTTCAATTGGTTGTGTTGAGAAATAAAATTTGGCAATACAATTTATTTTTCAAAGCAGTAAATAGTGTTAAAGTGTGTTGATTTAACCTACTCCCTCTTAAAGTCTTACGTCACTGAATGAGAATTTACATCTGTATTCACTAGCAAAAAGCTTTGTTTACTCATAATTTAGGTTGCTGGGTGGTAGTTGGTGTCCTTCTAGAATGTTAAGATCAGCTACAGTTGAGCCTCTGGAAACTAGGAAACACATTGGCTACGTCGAGACTGGTATGATTTTCCGCAAATGCTTTTAACGGAAAAGTTTTCCATTAAAAGCATTTGCGGAAAAGAGCGTCTAGATTGGCACGGACGCTTTTCCGCAAAAGCACTTTTTGTGGAAAAGCATCCGTGCTGATCTAGACGCACTTTTCCGCAAAAAAGCCCCGATCACCATTTTTGCGATTGGGGCTTTTTTGCGCAAAACAAATCTGAGCTGTCTACACTGGCCCTTTTGTGCAAAAGCTTTGCGCAAAAGGACTTTTGCCCGAACGGGAGCAGCATAGTATTTCCTCAAGAAGCACTGATTTCAGACAGTAGGAAGTCAGTGTTCTTGCGGAAATTCAAGCGGCCAGTGTAGACAGCTAGCAAGTTTTTCTGGAAAAACTTGCCAGTCTAGACACAGCCATTATGATACATACTATCCTTACAACGTAACCTTAACTCTGCCCCCTGCAGCTAGCAAAAGCCACTGTATTGATTCTGTAAGGGTGGTGCCAAAGTAAGCAGACACAAAGAAGAACAAAGAGAAGGTGCCAATGTTGTTTTTACTGTATTTGCAAGATTTGAAATCCAGAATTTATCTGTGTGATCGCTGGAAGGTCTGCTGCTAAGTATGCAAAATCAGTGATTGATTGTGGAAAGCTTCCAAAAATCAGCATCGTAGGGTGCGTCTAGACTATAGGATTTTTTCGAAAATAGTGGCCTTTTTTTCAAAAAACTTCCCCTGTGTCTAGACTGCTACTGCGTTCTTTTGAAAATAAATCGAAAGAACGTGGCAGTTTTTTCAACCGGGAAAACCTCATTTTACGAGGAAGAACGTCTTTTTTTGAAAGTGCTTTTTCAAAAAAGGTGCTATGTAATGCAAACTGTGCTTTTTCAAAAGAGAGCATCCAGACTGCCTGGGTGCTCTCTTTTGAAAAAGTGGCTTGCTTTTTCGAAAATACTGGTTGTAGTCTAGACGCTTTTTTTCGAAAGAGGCTTTTTCGAAAGTACAGTATCTTTCGAAAAAGCTTCTTTTGAAAGAGGCTTGCAGTCTAGACGTAGCCAAAGTGTAGACATTTCCTATAACTACACTGATGGAAAAACACCTTTTATTGATAATCTGCTTCTCTGAGACGCAACCGCTTGAGAGGGTGGGGCAGATTAGATTTGAGGGATTAGTTGAAAGAGCGGTCCCAGCTATGAGGAAAGATGCATATTAACTCTGAAACACCAAGTGTGCCTATTTCAGTGCTGAGTTCAGATGGCTATCTCATCAGCAGTGCACCGGGATCATCTCCTCACCGAGTTTTCAGTTTGGCAGCAGGCTGGTGCAAAGGGTAGAGCGTAGAGGACTTCTGGGGTGGTTTATGTGGTGTAGGCTCAGCGTATAAGTATCCTTTCATTATGCCTGACCTAAACACAAGTTTTGCCCTAGCAAAGAGAAGGACCTCATCTTTCAGTGCTCTGTTCTGAAGCATCTGTGTGAGCAGAGCGCTAGTGTGTGCATGATGGATGTACGGAGGCCTTCTGAGGGCCCAGGTAAGGTTGCATTGTGGGCGTGGTGTGAACCTTAACAGTGCATCTCCTGGTTTTCAGCAGTCTGAGTGTAGCAGAACTCAACAGCCTGGAACAGCACAAGGTATCATGGTATATTAATGAAGTTTCTAGTCAGTGAATTTCCTAGGGCTGCTCTTTGGAGGAGAGAGTATTCCATGAAGGAGATGCCATTATCAACTAGGTTTGCAGCGTGGAGTTAGGACAGGTACAGGATACTACAGGGTTTGTCAATAGTTCTCCCTGCACCCTTATGCATTTTGTTATAGGTGAATGGTGATAATGGCTGTACTAATGGAAGTTGGAGTCTGGAGGGGCTGACAGGGCATATTTTAAAACATTCTGAGTTTTGTTCTGTAGGTTATAGTAACCTTAGGTACATGAGTAGCACCGGTGTGTGCCTCTCTTCTCAACCTACTCCCTCCACTCCACCCCTACAGCAGCGTTTCCCAAAATATGGGCCGCGACCTAGTACCAGGCCGCGGGAAAAAAATACCAGGGAGCAGAGCGGGGTGGGCTGGGAGGAGGTGGGGGGGAACCGGCCACCTGGAAACAGGGTTAGGGGCAGCGGGACTGTCCCACAGAGATCTGGGCAGGCAGGCGGGTGGGCAGCCGATGAATGCAGGGCCGGGGGCAGCGGTGCTGGCCCGCAGTGATCCGGGCAGGTGGCGAAAGCAGGGCTGGGGGCAGCGGAGCTGTCCTGCGGAGATCCAGGCTGGCGGGCGGGTGGTTGCTTGAGCCCTTTACCATAATAAAAGTCTTTGTTTAAGGGGGTGCTGGCTCCTTGGTAGCTCTGCCAACTCACAGCCATAAGGGGTAAGGAGCAGTGTCCCTTTTCTGTATTGGCCACCTGACACACATACTCCATCTGCAAAAGCGGCGAGGAGTCCTGGCACCTTACAGACTAACTGAAGTGTTGGAGCATAAGCTTTCGTGGGCAAAGACCCACTTCGTCAGATGCATGTCATTGCTCCAATTCCTCATTGTCCCCAGCTCTGCAGCAAAAATTTTATAAGAATCTGAAAATGTTATGAGCAGCTTGTGTTAGTCTTTTTCTGTTTTCTGAATAATGGAACAGACTGTGATCAAAGGAGGCAAGTCTCTGAGTCATTTGGTCAAGGGATCACTAAGTCATGAAGACATAACCCAAAGGTTTATTGGGTTTCAAATTCCTTATAATCAATGTTAATGATCTTGTCCGGGGTTTCTCAGACTGGGGGTTTGGATTCCTGAAGGAGTCACGAGGTTACTACTCTCCTCTGTCCACCTCCAACCTCTGTTTCCACATGGAACCAGATATCAACTTCCCTGATTGATTATGAGTGTCCACCGTGTCCAGAGATGGGAGCGTAACTGCCATCTCCTGCATCCTAGGGAGAGTGACCACACAGCTGTTCTGCTCTGCATACTTAGCTACACAGTCCTTCTCCTGACTCTGAGACACTAACTTCCCACTCTCCTCATCCACCTGGGAACAATCCTGTTCCATACACACTGACTTCCCAGCAAGCTGGTCACACACAGTCACTGGGTTATCAGCCTGCTCCAATTCTCTGGCTGTTCCTGCCTCATCTGGAACAACCTTCGGTTCCTCCGAGACCTCTCCAACACCTTACTTGGGGGATTATGAGCTGTCCACCCAGCCTTGCCTCCAGCATTTATAATGGTGTTAAATATATAAAATATGTTTTAATTGATGAGGGGGCCGTGAGTACAAAAGTTTGGGAACCACTGATCTTGAGAATACTTGCGAAGTAAAACCTCAGAGTGCACATGTGAATTTTAGAGATTTTATTGCTCTTAGAACTGTTGGACTCAAGGCACAACTTTCAAAAATGACCCACTGCAGAAGGCAAGGAACACATACAAGACATATTTGTAAAATGCCAAGGAAAAGGGTCATACATCAGGCTCAGGTGATTTTGAAAAGTTCTAATTTTTTGGTTGGGGAGGGTTGCATCTCTGCAACTCTTTGTTCAAATGACTCCAGATTTAGGCCACTGAGACAACCCACCGTGCCCATGAGACACGATACATTTAAAAAAATCAGAGGAAACAAGCAGATTTTAGAGACCTTCTACTAATCAACCTTTAAACAGCAAGTGATGCCAGGATTACTGCACATTAGCCATACATCCTTAAGGTAATAAATATTCTGTCCATGTGCTTTGTTTCACCTATCTTAGGAGATTCAGAAGTGTGATCTGCTACTATAATAGGATGTTTATTATGATCTGAGTATTTTCTGGGAGTTAATTAGCTTTGTGGCATATGTAACGTAAGGACAGATTATCCTGAAGAGGAATCCTACCTTGATGTTTCTCTGCAGTTGGCTCTATTTAGGTATTTATACGGTATTCTTCACCATGGCAAATATACACCTGACTTGTGCCGCTGTCTCTAATGCTTTGTATTTATTCCTGTGATTGCTAGCTCTTAAGCCAAGATCTATTTCAGGATGTGGTTATTTTTAGGACAAAAAACAGGACTATGTAGCACTTTAAAGACTAACAAGATGGTTTATTAGGTGATGAGCTTTCGTGGGCCAGACCCACTTCCTCAGATCAAATAGTGGAAGAAAACTGTCACAACCATATATACCAAAGGATACAATTTTAAAAATGAACACATGTGAAAGGACAAATCAAATCTCAGAACAGAAGGGGGATGGGGGGGAGGTAAATGTCTGTGAGCTAATGATCTGAGGAAGTGGGTCTGGCCCACGAAAGCTCATCACCTAATAAACCATCTTGTTAGTCTTTAAAGTGCTACATAGTCCTGTTTTTTGTTCTAGATACACCAGACTAACACGGCTACATTTCTATCGTTATTTTAGGGGCTTTCATGGGCATGAGCCAGCAATGCTGCTTCCTGCCTGCAGATGGTACTGCATAGCTGCAGATTCCTTCCAACCTTGGTGTTGGCATTCAGCGAAACAGCTCAATGAGACTATAAAAGATGGAAAAGATGGAAAATAAATGGCATTTCAGGAAATCCTGCCCATGATGGGGCATTTCTAATGGGTAATCCATGCAGGGGTTAAGTGTTGGACTTTATATAGCTACCAACTATGTTCAGGGCTTTGATGTAATATTTTCACCATGACTGAAGACAGCAGGCTTGTGCATAAGTCACTGTGAGCAAACAATGAAGACAAGGGGGTACAGAGGTATCAAATCAGGACATAGTGTGAAGGCAGTTGGATGGCAAACCCTGTAGAAACTGGAGGACAAATACAGTGAATCTGTGCCT